TCATAATCAAACAAAAGCAGACAAAACAATATTATATGTCATTTTATAGATATGGGCAGATGAAATAAAAACAGAAAACATGGCTGGGTAGATGAGATGCTGCTTTCAGAGCAGGTGTCCCCCTGCTGTTGGAGGCAGGGGCATGGAACTGGGAAGGGCAAAAAGAGAACTTCAGCTTTGTCTTTTTTATTTTTCTGAAAATATGGCAAAACAGCAATATTATGACAAAGTGGTAATATATGAGAAGCTTGGGTGGTATGAGAGAATTTGTTATATTATTTGTTTTATAACATACTATACTTTTTTTTCAAACCATAATATTTTATTTTATTAAACTTTTAAAAAAATTATTTATGAGAGAGAGAGTGAGTGCATGGGTCAGGGAGGGGGGGAGAGAGGTAGAAGCAGACTCCCCACTGGGCAGGAAGCCCAATATGGGGCTCAATCCCAGGACCCTGAGATCATGACCTGAGCCAAAGGCAGATGCTTAACTGACTTAGCCACCCAGATGCCCCCATATCATAATATTTAAAAAAGAGAATGACATGAGAGGGCAGAAAGGCAGATGGAATCCAACTTGGAGAATTAGAGAAGTGATATCGGAGTTACCAAATCAAGAGCTGGAGTCCAACACCCACTTACTTTAAGGACAAGAGTGCCACATATTTAAAGTATGTAAATAATGTGCTCCAGGAAATGGCCCTCATTTCCTCCTACATGCCTCGATGTGTGGATGGAAGAGATCCCCTAGTATTTGAACCTCTTATCTTTGGCTTAAAACTTGCTTGTCATAGCATAAGATTTTTTTTTTAATACACTAGGCTAGATCTTCTGCAGAAGGCAGATGACCCCTTTTGCAGAAAAAGAGGATATAAGCCAGGTAGTGGGAATGGGGAGAAGCATGAAGAGGTGAATGGATTTCCATTGGGGATATTAGCATATTACTCAGGACCCTTTTAGCTTACATGATAAGAACAAGAGTCATCCTCCCTGAAAGAAAAGAGTTGGAAGCCCAGCTCTTAAGGAGATACTTCTAGCTCACTTTTTATGTTCTCTGATTTCCCTGGGACACCTGCTCTCAGTTGGGCTTTCACTGTAGCCACTTGAATTATTTGAAGGTCTGTAAACCCACTGCCTTCAGAAACTCTGCACTATCTATTCTCTTGTTTGAATGTGTTCATATTTGGGTCACAATTTTATTTTTTAAAGATTTTATTCATTTATTCATGAGAAACACACACACACACACACACAGAGGCAGAGACATAGGCAGAGGGAGAAGCAGGCCTCCATGCAGGGAGCTTGATGTGGGACTCGATCCCAGGTCTCCAGGATCACGCCCTAGGTGGAAGGAGGCGCTAAACCGCTGAGCCACCTGGGCTGCCCTGGGCCACAATTTTAAAAGGATGAGGGAGGGAAAGTCAATATTTAGCTCCAGGCATGGTCAAGGTTGCCTGCAGAGTATGTATGTCACTTCAGAAGTAGCCCTTCTTCTTTTCTGTCTTTTTTTTTTTTATTTTAAAGCTTATATCTATTTTATTTGAGAGAGAGACAGCTCACAGATGTGCGCTGGAGGAGGGGCAGAGGGAGAGGGAAAGAATCTCAAGTAGACTCTGCTGAGTGTGGAGCCCCACGGGGTGGGGAGGGGGGTGGCTCTCTCCCAGGACCCTGGAATCATGACCTAAGCCAAAACCAAGAGTCTGATGCTTAACGCACTGAGCCACCCAGGCACCCCAGAAGTAGCTCTACTTTCAAATGTAAACCGAATAATAGCACTCCTTCCTTTTCTTAGGAGCCTCCAGTGGCTCAAAATAAGATCAAATCCCTTGGCTGCTGCCTATTTCTTAAAACCATTCCTGGCGGGGGATCCCTGGGTGGCTCAGTGGTTTAATGCCTGCCTTTGGCCCAGGGCACGATCCTGGAGTCCCGCGATCGAGTCCCACGTCAGGCTTCTGGCATGGAGCCTGCTTCTCCTTACTTCTGTGTCTCTCTGCCTCTCTCTCTCTCATAAATAAAAAAAAAATAAATCTTAAAAAAAAAAACAAAACAAAACATCCCTGGCCATTTCGTCTTCTCTTGGTTATCTTCTAGCCATCCTGGTCTTGCTGATCTGAGCTCTCCCCGTCTCACATCTTTTGCACCTGCCATTTCCTCTGCTTGAAGCAGTTCTTAACGCTGTGTTTACCTTGCCTGCCTCATTCTTGCTGTTTGGTGCAGCAGTTCTCCACCCTCGCTGGGCCCCAGCTCCCACCTCAAGGTTTTTATTTAACTGGTCTCAGTTGAGGCCTTGGAAACGTGTATGACTTAGAAGCCACTCAAGTGATTGTCACATGCAGCCAGTGTTGAGAACCAGTGCTTCAGTGTAAACAGCACTTTATCAGAGACCAGAGCCATAAAGAGGATGCTCCTTTCTATGCTCTATCTCAGCTCCTTATTTATCTCCTTCCTGAGGTCGCTATATCGTATTTTACTTGTTCACTCTGATTAGCTTTTGATCTATCACTTCTACCAAACAGTGGTTCTCTGAGTGCCTGGATCAGCAGCAGCACCTGAAAACTCATTAGAAATGCAAAATCTCTGGCCCTAGTCCCTGGCTGAGATGCATATTAACGTTTGAGACCCACCGTACTAGGTAAGGGGAAGCTCTCAGGAGCTTGGACCCCATCTGGATTGCTCCCCCTGCATTCTCGTTCAGACCCCAACATGGCATAGAGGTTCAACAGGCCTTTGTTGAATGATTGAGCAGGTGATAGCACATCTCTTTTGTCAGTGGCTCACATGTCAACGGAAAGTTGGATGAAAGGAGCAAAACAGACAAAAACCCCCAAACCAACTTTTACTCCATTTCTTAAAATCTTCTAAGCTTAGTCACAAAGGATTTTTTCCTCACTCATCATAAACATATAAAAATTGGTACATTATTAGATATCTATTCTTCCTTTTTTTTCCCCCAGAAAATTCAGCAAATTGAAATATACCTAGAATCACTTGTCATGTAGATAGGTATCATTCTGTTGTTTTCAATTTTAGGACTGTGAGGTGAGCTAATTTGTCTAAGTTTACAGATCAAGTCAATTTCCACAGGGGCTGATGTTTGAGAATGAGAATCCTATTGCCATGTTCTTCTACTTCTAAAATGTGGAATCATGTTATAAAGAATGTGGGACAACTCCATACCTTTCCTGAGCAGCAATGTGTATAAATGAATATATTGCCTATATTACCATAAAGAAAGAAAAATAAGACACAGTCTAAATGTCTAACCATATGGAAATGATTAAATCATGGAAAAAATGATTCATCATGAAAAATTATATCATAACCCATTTATTATTTGAGATATTTTAAATAAAAAAGCAGGTAAGGAAATGGGTTAAAAAGTATGACAGCATTAATAGAAAAATCATATTCATAAAATATATTTTAAAATAAATATATATTTAAATACATTTAAAAATATATCTTAAAATGATGAAGTATTTTAAAATGATGAAATTCTAGAAAGATCTGTACCTACTTCACGATGATCACCCCCAGGTATTGAAACTACAGAAAACGTTGTTTCATTTCTGCATATGTATATTTCTAAGAAATATTCTCTAATACTATGTGTTACTTTTGTAATAGGGAGATGGTAATCCGAGAAAACATTGCTTATGTATTGTACCAAATATGCACTATCCAGTTTAACTTTTTTTTTCTCTGGTATTATCATCTCATTTCCCCCAAGAAAACCCAAGTAACTCTATAAACATCACTTATTTTTGAAAAGGCTATCAGTAATTAAGGTCAAGCCTTCTTGTAAGAATTTGGGACCTGAAAACCCAGTTGGAAACACTTCCAGGCCAGGTAAGTCCCATCCTGACGGGTGACTGCCTTTCTCCCCCACAGTAGCTGCAGGTAGGATCCGTGGGCCCCCATTTCCTCCGTGGCTGTGCATTCCTCCCTGCTAGGACCTGCACCTCTGATTCTCTGTCTTCTCCTCCCTTTCTCCTCTATGGCAAGGTCATTCTCTCTGGCCTCTGTACTTCCTAATTCTGGCTCAAGAGTCTCCTGACTTACAAACACATCCCATGAACCCCTGGTGCTCTCTACTCCAAAGCCCACAGCGCACTCCATCCCCCCACTGTGTCCCTGCAGGAGTCATCATCTCCATGCCTGTCTTTTCACTAGGGGCTGGCAAAGCAAGCAATCCCCTTCCTTACAAAGAGAAGGGGTGGCCAAGTGTCCAGTCTTCTGGGCTCTGGGGGGTGAAGGAGGGGGTGCATGGGATAGAAAGTGAGCTCTCCTCTAGACTCTGGGAGCATGAGAACACTCCGTGTATGAGAACACAGGCGATCATTACAGAGAAATAATAGGAAGCCGTGTAGCAGAATACTCACACTGCAGTTCCGCAACATGACGAGTTAAGTGAGCTGATACGGTACAATCGGGAACCCAGTCACAGTTCTAAGTGTGCTCCAAATGATGACCTTAACGAACTTTGGGAACACAACCTGCCCCTAAGATCTGAACGATTTGGGTTTCGTTTGCTTCTCTGAACTAAAATAATGAAATGCACTTTTAAACAGAAGGGCTCCTTTATAAAATCCACCGTGTTGTCTAATGGCTCGCAGTAGCAGCAGCACTGCCCACCCTTTATCCTTGGGGTTCTCCTCTGGGATCCCAAACACTTACAGTAGGAAACTTGACTACGTTACTGATTCTGGCACCTTGCTGTCTTAAAAGGCAAAGACAAAGAATGCAGCTTTTCTTTCTGTAAGTCATAGCCCTTCCTCTATTCTGAAGGCTAGAATCCGAAACGGGAAATCCTGAAGCCACAGACTTTCAACTGGCATAACACTCAGCAGCTTTATTTGCAAACAGAACAGTGGGTCAAGCAAAAATTCCAAAGGATAGGAGGACGTGGCTGAGAAGCATCCCCACCCCTCTCTGCTCTACGTAGAGAACATGAGATGTTTGCCAGGAGACCAGGGAAAATCATAAAATCTTTTACTTACCATTTTATTGAAAAGAGTGGATGTGCCTGGCACACGGTGACCATGAAGATGCTGTACTGGGGTCAGTGAATGTGCAAGTTGGCTTTGCAGAGTGCACTTCCTTTTTTGAACTGTGTGGTCTGTCCAGCCTTCACACATTGATATGTAAGGTTTATTTGCATGTTATCTCAGCCCTCAGAGCATTTGTATAACTGACTGGGTTTATTAAGTTATTATACTTTAATAAAACGAGAACAGGTGGAGCTTTGAAGTCTGAAAGATGCCATGGGATTTTTAAAGAAGTGTCTGGAGGTTACATTTTGTGTACATGATTATTTTATATAAAATCTATATTTGTGAATCTATCTATGAATGAATGAAGGACACAATCTAAAATGTTAACAGCTGTTGACTTAGGTCAAGGTTTTATTACAAATAATCCTTGTTTTGTATTTTGCTGACTTTTCTATGTTGAGTATTTAGTATTTGTTAAAAACATAACTATAATCTTAAAAAGAACAAAGGGAACATGACAACAGTCCCAAATGAATTTAAACTGTCTCACCAATATTTAAATGGTGGAGGCATCCATAAGCTTATCATAGGATGACATTCGTTTCATCAAAAAAATATAAATTATATGTCAATCTGGCTTTATATGTTAGGTTATTAACAATTTTTATTAGCATCGGATGCCTCAATCTCTCTGCTGGTAAACTAGATATATTCTTAAAGCATCGTGTTTGATCCCAGATCCCATAATTATCTGTAATACCTGTCTGAACACATTCTGGTACAAGGATTTATCTCATTTATTTTGAATACATAGCCTGAACTAAAGTAATTTCAAGGGCAGAAGATCAACTTTGTTGCCTCTTGACGAGTAAAGGTAGCTGATTTCTTAGTTTGGGTTGTGAATTTCTAGATCTTCTTATAAGTACTCCATCTAGTAGAGGGGAACCAAACTTTTTCACTTGATGCTGAGCTAATAATAATTACTGCCATGACACTACGAATCCTATATTTTAAAAATTCTATCTTAAAAGTCCTATATTAAAAAAGAAGTTCCCTATTATTTATTCATTAAAATGAAAATGTTTTTCAAAATGAAGATGTGATTAGAAATATGGATAGAATCATTGCCAGGACAAAGCATGAAGACGGATCAGGGGTGAGTTCCAGAGGTAGAAAAGAATCTGATACTATCTTGAAGCCTGCAGATATTTTAAAGAGGGAATGGTCAGAAATTAGGTGGGTAGTTAGGAATCTGAAATTGCAGTCTCTGGCACATAATGAATACTCAACAAATAAAAGGAAGAGGATGACCAAAGTAAGACAGGTATAGGAAAGGCATGCTTTTAGATCTAAAGCATTTGTCAGCAGAAGGCCTTGACGTGGAGACATTCTTTAGCTTAATCAAAATGCCTCTTATCTACTATCTCCTGAAATCGTTTTTTCATAGTGCAGGTATAGTTTAGTGTCTAAAGAAATGGTTTTCTTTCTTTCTTTTTTTTAATATATTATGAGTTTATTTTTTTTAATAAATTAATTATTTTTTGGTGTTCAATTTACCAGCATACAGAATAACACCCAGTTCTCATCCGTCAAGTGCCCCCCTCAGTGCCTGTCACCCATTCACCCCCACCCCCCACCCTTCTCCCCTTCCACCACCCCTAGCTCATTTCCCAGTTAGGGGTCTTTATGTTCTGTCTCCCTTTCTGATATTTCCCACACATTTCTTCCCCCTTCCTTTTTCAACCTGGTTGCACATTAACATCACCTGGAATGCTTTTAAAAATCCCAGTTCCCAGGCTTCACCCAGACTATCAAATCAAAATCTCTGGGTTTGAGACACAGTCATCAGTATTTTTTAGTTTTCACAGAAATTCCAAGGTGCAGGTAAGCCTGGTCTCTAGAAGGAGGAGCAGATGACTCATGCTACCAGTTGGTGGACAGATCACTAGGCAAGCCTTGGAGGTAGAAATAATCCTGACGCTCTGACACCATTGACTGCTGAGTTTAACAACAGATGTTCACTATGCAGTACGTAACAATTACTTATTTTTGGTCATTTTATGATTTTCTCTCTGTATCAGCAAGTTGGACCAAAATTACGCCATGAATAGAAATCTAGCAATTTCCATTAACAATGTAGCTGACTGGATAAGTCTCTGGTTAAGAGAAGTTCAAATTTCAATTTGTTTGTTTGAATTCCACTTCAATTTGTGCTTATTTCCAAATGAAAATTAAGGTAAGTTTTAGTTGCTACTGACATAAATCCGGCAGTGTGTCAAAAACATATACTTAAGAGAAGTAGTCTGATTAAGAAAAAAACAGTAAGGACTCAAGCTCCCAACCCTAATCCATCCTCCACCATTGAGTTTTAATTTTGGAGCATAATCACTTTACTTAAAACTATATATCAAATATCATGTATGTGAGTATATTTCCTGTGAAGTCAGCTAAGTACCTAAGCCCCTAAGAAGGAAGATGAAACAGGAAATGCAATGAAGATGATAGACAATAGAGATATATCTTCTTGAGAAGATAAAGTTCTATTTTCCTGGTATGGGCACTGCAATTATTCCTGCTAGCGAAAGGGAGAAGTAGCTCAGAGGATGCAAAAGTCGTTAGAATTCTTTAACTACTTGGGCATGCATTCTCTTTTCCTAGATTTGCATTCTAGAGAATGATTTTTGTTTAGGCAATGGTAAAATGAGTCCGCTACGTTGGTGTTCACCAAAGGTGAAAGCTAGGGGGAGACAGTGAGGCCCCAAGTTGTGGGGTGGATCTCAGAAACCAGCTTCATTTTTTAAAGTCAATTGACAAGAAGATGGAGGAAATAGCACTAATAAAAATTTAGGTAACACTACTTACTGATCATTATTTGAAGATGATTAGCGTAGGGGATTAGAATTACTTATAAACTCTTACATAATTTCAGCTTTATAAACCAAATGGTTAACATTTTAGAGAGGAAACACACGATCACCTACTTTATGTGTCCAACACTAATATGCCCAGACAAGACCCCAGAGGTAGGAGAACAGAGGCATGTTTAGTCTCACCTCTTCCAGGAAGCCTTCTCTTCTGTGCACTCGCTCTTCTCCCCCTTTTTCTGAACTGCAGACTGCACCACAAAATGAAGCTCTTTGGTATGTTTGCCTTTTATGGTTCTCCCATTGTATGGGCTGCATTAAGTTTGGCTCGCTAACTATATTTGAAACTCTTCCAGTGTGAATTAATTTGCATACTTCCTTCTGCCATGCTAAGATCCTAGAGCAACTTATTTTTCTAAACTTTTTTCTTTCCTTTTTTTTTTTTTTTTACGCTCATGGGTTCCTTTCAGAATCTGATAAAAAACATTATACGGTTTTGCACACTAATTCTGCATGTGTACAGCCTCCCTTGAAGCCCATTATTTAGGAGAAGCTGTGGAAAAACTCTTGGCAAAAATATTATCAGATAATAGGAGATGGTCACTACATTACTGCTCTTTGAGGATGAAATTAAAACACAGAAATGCTGAGTGACCTCTTGAGATTTCACACTGGAAAAATGGTCAGCTAAAACTTCATTATTTTGTAAACTTGTCTTTTTCAATCAACGTGAATTTGAATGGTGCCAGCAAAGAACAACTCAAACTCACAAAATAGATTCATAGAAATTCAAGGAAATTAGTCTCCCTGTTAGGATAGATATGGAATAGCCAAGTGAAAAGTAGCAGGAAGAAAGCTGGATAAGAACAGGCATGTTTAAAAAGGGTGTGCAAGAGGAAATGAGCTGTTCCTTGGTTTGGCTTATTTCTCTTTCACTTTTTGTTTTGAAAACAGAGTGGATTTTCACTCTTGTACTTTATATTTTTGATGAAAGCAGGCTTTAACCCATTCAGAACATCAATGCTCTGGAAGAAATAGCTATTTTTTTTAAAGATTTTATTTATTTATTTTAGAGAGAGAGTGCATGAGCTGAGAGAGGGACAGAGTGGGAGAGAGAAGGGAAGGGAGAGAATCCCAAGCAAACTCCATGTCCAGTGCGGAGCTCAACACAGGGCTCAATCTCAGGACCCTGAGATCATAACCTTAGCTGAAATCAGGAGTCAGACACTTAACTGACTGAGCCACCCAGGCATCCCTCGAAGAAATAACTTACCAATCAACTTTAGTAAAAACTGAGCTCACCTTCCAAACAGGAGGAGAGTTCTCATATTTCAATAGGATGAGTAAATTGTATTTAAATTTAAGGAAAGCAGGGAAAAATTTTCTTTGCAACTTAAACCCAACCCCAGGCAAACATTTACTGATCTCTAAAAAGAACTGCTGAAACAGGACCCTGGAGAAATAATCTAAACTTTATTTAAGGGGTCTTTTATCAAACCAACTAGCTTGGAAAGCAAAGAGACGAAGAACAAAGCTTCTAGAATTCTGTTGTATATTAATTTATTTATTACTTTCTTTTGCTCTTCTGGTTATAATTTTTATCTTCCTCTCTCTTGGATTTAAGGGGGCTTGTAAGGGTCTGCAGAGTCTCTTGAATCCTGCTCTTTTCTACTCATGGCTCTCACTGTTCTCTTGTCATGGCTTCTTACTTCTTCAGGCTTTACACAGTCTTCTCAAAGGCGGAATCTAAGTTGTAATCCTAGATGTCTTACTAGATCTCCAAGACAAGGACATTTAACTGACATCATCAAAATACATACTCTCATGGGTTGGTCATTGGGCTTAACAATTTGTTAATAAAAATGTGTATTTTAACAAATAAAAAATCATACATGAAAAATCTGTCTATTTCTGCTTTTATCTTTCCTCATTCGTTCATTCATTCATTCATGCATTCATTCCCAGTTCCCTTCCCAAAAGTAAGGTTAGGCCAGAAAGAATGGAAAATAAATAGACGTGTCTCAGGATCTTGCAGACTCAGAGAAGATGACAAAGGGAAAAATGGATCTCTCCACCATTCCTTGAATTCTTATTCTTTCCCACTGTCAATTAATTGCAGGTATGAATATACTCATTTCCTAGTTTGTTGTCTCTTTAATTTTAAGATAGGAATATTTCTATTTCAGTATAGGATAAATATTGGTGAAGACTTACATTCTTTCCTTTCTTTTTAAAACATACCTAATTGCAAATCTTTGCCAAAAAAAAAATAGGCAAGAAGCCTACTTAAATATAAAATTACCTATGACCTAAAATAAAATTAGCCATACCAGAGTATAACCTGGTGACAAATTTCTTTTGTTCAGAAGAATACAAATGTTGCTATTTTAAATTCTATAGTACCTTTTGGAACTTCATACTACTACTTAGTTATGCTATTAGGAGGACTTATAAGAATCTATAATGTAGCTATGAAATACATTTATTAGAACATAATTTGTGAAATGATTCAATGTCATCTTGACCTTCTTGTATGTTTGTTTGTTTTTTTGTAGTCTCTTCTAGGCTGACTGATTGCAGTAGGCTAGCACATGAATAAAAAGTATCATTAATCAATACATGATACTGGGAAAACTGGGTATCCATGATGCAAAAGAATGAAGCTGGAGCCTTACCTTATACAATATAGAAAATTAGCTCAAAATGATCAAAAACCTATACATAAGAGCTAATATAACTGTAAGACTCCTGGGGCACCTGGGTGGCTGTTGAACATGTGCCTTCGGCTCAGGTCATGATTCTGGGGTCCTGGGCTCAAGTCCCACATCAGGCTCCCCATGGGGAGCCTGCTTCTTCCTCTGCCTATGACTCCTCTGCCTATGTCTCTGCTTCTCTCTGTGTGTCTCTCATGAATAAATAAAAAAAAACTCTTCAAAAAAACCCGTAAGATTCCTGGAATAAAACACAAGGGAGAAGCTTCATCACAAAGTTGGATCAAACGACTTCTTGGATATGACACCACAAGCATAGGAAACAGAAGAAAAAATAGGTAAATTTGATTTCATCAACATGAAAAACTCTTGTGCATCAAAGAATGCAATCAATAGGGTAAAAAGGCAACCACAGAATCAGAGAAAATATTTGTAAGTTGTATATATGAAAGGGAATTAATATCTAAAATATATAAGGAATTCCCATAACTCAACTACCTGATTAAAAAATAGTCAAAGGACTTGAGTAGATATTTCTCCAAAGAAGACATACAAAAGGCCAAAAAGGACATGCAAGGATGCTCAACATCACTCATCATTAGGGAAATGTAAATCAAAACCACCTAGAGATACCACTTTTGTATCCATTAGGATGGCTATTATTTAAAAAACCTAGAAACTAACAAGTGTTAACCAGGCTGTGGAGAAATTAGAGCCCTTGCACATTGCTGATAGGAATATAAAATGGTGCAACTGTTAAGGAAAACAGTATTGTGGTTCCTTAAAAAATTAAACATAGGGACACCTGCATGGCTTAGTGGTTAAATGCTTGCCTTCGGCTCAGGGCATGATCCTGGGAGACCAGGGATTGAGTCCCACATTGGGCTCCCTGCATGGAGCCTGCTTCTCCCCCTGCCTGTGTCTCTGCCTCTCTCTCTCTTTCTGTGTCTCTCATGAATAAATAAATAAAATCTTTAAAATCTTTTAAAAAATTAAACATAGATTTAGCTTATTATCCCATAACTCCACTTCTGGGTATATGCCCCAAAAAAGCGAAAGCAGAGATTCAAAGAGATATTTGTACACTCATGTTCATTTATATATATATATATATATATATATATATATATATATATATATATATATAAATGATAGCCCAAAAGTAGAAGCAAACCAAGTGTCCAGCAACAGAGAAATGGACAAACAAAATGTGATACATGTATCATAAATATATAAATGTAACATTAATACATATATTTCATTGCTTTTTAAGGCTGAATAACATTCTATATTGTATACAGGGAAATTCTGATACATGCTAGAAGATATTCCCTAAGTGAAATAGATGTGAAAGGACAAATGTCAAATTCAGAGACAGAAATTAGAATAGTAGTTATCAGGGCTGGGGATGTAGGAAATGGAGAGTTATTGCTTATTATGTGCAGAGTTTCAGTTTGGTATGATGATAAAGTTCTGCAGATGGGTAGTAGTGATTGTTGCAAAACAATATAAATATACTTAATGCCACTGAACTGTACACTTAAAAATGGTTAAAAAAATAGGGGAGCGGGGTTGCTCAGAAAGTTAAGTATCTGCCTCTTGATTTTGGTTCAGGTCATGATCTCAGGGTTGTGGGATCAAGCCCTGTGTTTGGCTCTGTCCTCACTGGAGAGTCTGCTTGAGATACTCTCTCCCTCTCTCTGTCTCTGCCAGTCTCCTGTTCCCTCTCTACAAAAAATTTTGTTGAAATGGTATATTGCCACAATAAAAAAAAAACTCCTCAAAAAAAAAAAATCACTGAGACCACTAATTATTTAGAGGAAAGTACTAACCCATTCTGCCATAAAACATTATTCTCAGCTTTCAGATTTACTCTTTTGACTTTTTAAGTGTCACTAATGTTAGTCACATTCAGTAGGATTTATATCAATAGCCTTGCATAATAACCATGTTTATTGTTTGTTTACAAAGGCCAAAGTCATTAAATGCATTATCTCAATAAACCAACACAAAATCCTATGAAGTGAACATTATCACCCCTAGGGCATCCTAGAGCTTGGGGGTTTAGTAACTTGTCTCTTGTTAAAAAGTACATCACTTCCTCCTCTTGAACCACTTCACTGCTCTTAGCATGGTCGGGCTAATGGATCCGAGGTGGGAGTGGAGAGGTTGAGGGGAGTTGGAGGTGAGCAGAGTGATAGATGTTTGTCCTGTGAATTCATTATATATGTGTGCTTGTGGGTGATTGAGAGAATACTTTTGTTTCTTTCATTTTTTTTTGATTTATTTTTTCTTTTTCTTTTGTTTCTTTCAAAACAAACCTAAGTTAATCCTAGCCTATTATCCACGATTTAGGATTATTTTTATAAATAACTATTGGGAAACGACCTCAAGGGTGTTATTGTGGGCTGTTGCAGGCAGTGTCCCCTGTGTACACAGTCAAAGGGCCCTGGGGAGATAGTGGTTTAAAGCCAGGGGAAGGATGCTGACCCACACCTCAAACATTCATTAGTTGCCACATATACGTTGCTATCTACCAGGCGAACAATAGAAGGAATAAGCTACCTGAGTTTTGAGTGTAAAAAGGGAACAATGTCAAACCATAGCGATTCTCCAAAGCTTCTTATCCCATTAGGCTCAAGAGAATATGAATGCCCATCCAGCTTCTCCAGGTCCTCTTAATAAGGCTAGGTTTCAGGGGAATCATCAGAATGTATGCCTGAGACAGAGGACTATTTTCCCCAGTTGTTTCTTCCCTTGAGTTTGTGGAGTGCCCCTCAGAGGGCATGTGGAGTGGGGATACCCTGAGCCCCATCTGCCTGCACTGAGCTCCACCTTTCCTTCTCAGGAGTCTGCTTTCTCACAACCACAGGCCAGGCTGAGCCATGTAAGGCCCAGCAGCCAGAAGGTCCTCATCTCTCCCAATTTCTCCTGATTCTTCCTCAGTGTAGGTTTAGAGGCGTTCTCCCAGCGGCGGAGTCCTGTTGGGCAGTTTCTGGTGTCTCAATGGTGCACCCTGCTGGAAAGGCTCTACCAGCTATGTCACGATTGAAGGGAAGTTCGTTGGAAGATCTTGAGGTCACCAGTGCACCTGCACGGTTCCCCTCCACTTCCAGTAAAAGGGACTCCGACAAATCATTAAGCTGACCCTAGGGAGTCCAGTTGAGGCTCAGCTCTTTTCTTGTTTGACATTTATAATTCAAAAGAGTGCAAGGCATTCTCAGTATTTACTCTGATAACTCCCCTTAGTCCAGATGCTCTACAGCAGAAACTCTCTTAACAGTGCGTTATCTGAGCTGTGTTCAGTGTTTGCATGCATTTAACAGACCCAAATTCTTTTTGATTCGCCTAGGTTTCTGGGGGCAGGGAACAGGAATTCTTTTAGGCTCCCAAGGCTATTTTCATATCCAAGGGACCAGGCCAGCACTTCTATTTTTAGAGCTCCATCCCTATCACATGTAACATATGAAAATGCATCCCATATCCAATAACCTTTTCCTTTGTTGCTTAGAAAAAGAACTTGAAAACTATTGTTAAAAATTGTGCTTTTAAATTTTTTGCAAATAAATAATTTACTGTGATCTTTCAGTAATTGTGTGCATTCTGAATTTGTGTGAAGTGAGGAAAAACTAACACATTTATTTATAAATGGAGGAAATGTTTATTAACAATACCAATTAATCGAGTTGATATGATCATATTATTCATGTTTATTAAACATTTATTAATTTTGATTTTGCATTTTTTCTTTTGTATTTTGAGGGTTGTTTTTAGGGGAAGTCTCAGACCTTTTCAAAAGCTTTGAAGCCTTAAGTACCACACTACTTAACATATAAAATCATACAGTCAGCTCTCTTGATCACTTTCTTATGTGGGTAGCCTTACCTCATACAATTCATTGAGTATTAAGCTGGACCATATGAAATTGTTGGTTATTTGTTTTTTGTGTGTTTGTTGTCTTTCTTTCTTTCTTTCTTTCTTTCTTTCTTTCTTTCTTTCTCTTTCCTTTTTTGTAAAATATGTTTGGATAGGGACATTTCGCAGGATTTAACCTAATTGTTTTTGGTTACAAATATAATACTTTCTTCCCTTGGAAACATAGATTTAAACTGGAGAGCTAAGACTAACAAGAGCAGCATGCTCTGCATGAGGTTGGCACTCAGTAGGTATTTGCTCAGTGAATGGATGCAGGTACTAATGAATGACCCAACAAGAAGCAATGACATACACAAGAATGAAATTGCATGTCATGGACTTGGATAATGGACCTGGTGGAACATATTAATCATACAAAGTACTCTGGCAATTACTTTTAAAGCCAACACTATCTTTTTAATTTTGTTTGTTAGCCAGAGACTGGCATTAACTATGGGAGAAAGTAATCTTCATAGTTCACTGCTGACTGCTCATTCAGGGATAAAAAATGGAAACATCATAGGAGTTTAAGGAGGAAAAAAAGCGTTGTGGGTTGGAGAGAGATTTCAGAGGTCAGTTGGATGTTCATGTTGTTTTCCATTTGGCAGCAAGAACTATCTTCAAGGGTAGGATCCTTAATTGTAAAGTCCTGGTTTTTACTTTTGTTTGATCCCGGAGAAGTCAATAGGTTTATTTGTTTATTTTGTTGTAGTTGTTGTTCTTTTTATTTTTTGTTTGACTGGTAAACCTAGAGAAAACAAAGGATTATCATATCATGATTAATAGGACTTCAACTTTGGGTTCATCCATCCATCCATCTATTTATTTATCTCCTTATCCTGTTGCACCCCGGTGTGTCAGATGCTGTCTAGATGCTGGGAATAAAACAGGGTGCAAGATAGTAGACACATTACAAACTAGAGGGATCTTCAGCTTGTGTAGAAAGATGAAATATTATTGGTTCTGGAAGAGCAAAGGAAAGGTACTCAGAAAGCGTAGACAGAATTGATTCTTGGAGAAATTGGAGATTTCACTGAAGAGATGTTAATTATTCTGGGTCCAGAAGGAAGGTTTTTCCACTCTTTGCATAACCAGAGAATTAAGAAGGAGGAGGAGGAGGAGGAAAAGGAGGAGCAAGAGAAGAGGAAGAGGAAGAAGAGGAAGAAGAAAAGGAAAAAAAGAATCATGCTCCAGGAAGGATCCACCACAAAGGTTCTGGTTTAACTGGCGTGGATGGACATCTGTTTTGTTTTTGTTTTTGGCTTTTCTAAAAAAGCTAGCCAGGTAAATCTAGTGAGCATTAAGCTGAGAAACCCTGGTGTGGGAGAAGAAAACACACAAGGGGAATAAAAAAAAAAAGGGAGGTTAGTTTGGTTGAGGGAGGAGAAAGTTGGAGAGCATTCTACTTGAAGTAAATAATACGTTAAAGAAAGGTGATGTTTAAGATTTTCAATCTCATGATGGAGCAGGTCCAATTTAAATAAGGTGCTGGAACTGAGTATTTTGTAGAAAATGGGATATCAGGAAGAGATTCCTCGAGAGAAAGATTCAGCAAGAAGGACTTCATCAAGGAGCTGGTGGACCAATCTGGGTTAGTTGCGAAAAGTCAACCAGGAGACACTAGCTTCCTTAAAACTATTATGTTTATAGATGGTGAACTTGATCTTCATTATTCATCAAACACAAAATGTGGAAACTGAACCAAGACATTTGCATTAAAAACTGGTGCAAAATAAATGAAAACAACAGGACCTCACAAGAAACAAATTAACCCTAAGAATACTCAGAGTAACAGGATTCCCACAGGAAACTATTTACAATGAGGATTAAACATATAAAAAGAAATTACTAAGTACCAGTTTGAAAAGAATGCCACGAAAATGAGTTAGTACACTTAACAGAAAAATCAATTGCAGTGCAGAAACTATATATTCTGGAGCAGTTTAAGAGTTGTTCCCAAATGAATGTGTTTAACATCTTCAAAGATATAAAAGCAGGAAAATAATACAGGAGGCCAGGATTAATTAAAAATAGATTAAGGTCTTGAACATAAGATCTGAAACCATAAAGCTCTTGGAAGGAAACATTGGTAGTAAACTCCTTGACCCAGGTCTTAGCAATGACTTTTTGAATCTGACACCAAAAGCAAAAGCAACAAAAGCAAAAATAAACAGGTGGGACTACATGAAACTAAAAAGTTTCTGCACGGCAAAGGAAATCATCAACAAAATGAAAAGACAACCTACTGAACGAACAAAATATTTGCAAACCATATATCTGATAAGCAGCTAATATAGAGAATATATAAAGAATTCCTACAACTCAATAGCAAAAAAATAATTTGATTAAAGAATGGGCGGAAGATCTGAATAGACATTTCTCCAGAAAAGAGACATATAGATGGCCAATAGGTACATGAAAATGCTCAACATCACTAATCATCAGAGAAATGCAAATCACAACCACAAAGAGCTATCTATCACCTCCCACCTGTTAGAATGGCTATTATCAAAAAGATAAGAAATAACAAGTGCTAGTGAGGATGTGACAAGAAATAACAAGTGTTAGTGAACCCGTGTGCACTCTTGGTGGGAATGTAAATTGGTCCAGCTGCTCTGGAAAATATCCTAAAAAAATTAAAAATAGAACTACTATATGATCCTCCAATTCCACTTCTTGGTATTTATCTGAGGAAAATTAAAACATTAACTCAAAAAGATACACGCGCCCCTATGTTTACTGCAGCATTTTTTACAATAGCCAAGACACGGAAGCTACCTAAGTGTCCATCAATGGATAAATGGATAAAGAACGTGTGGTATATATACACAATGGAATATTCAGTCACAAAAAAGAAGGACATGTTTGGACCTTGAGAGCATCATAGTAAATGAAATAAGTCATACAGAGAAAGAGAAATACTATACGATCTCTTTTATTTTATTTTATTTTTTATACAATCTCTTTTATATGTGGAATCTGAAAAGCAGAAAAACAAACAAAACACAAAACTCATAGGTACAGAGAATAGATTGGTGGTTGTGAGAGGTGGGGTGAGAGAAATGGGGAACTCTTTGTTTTGGTTTAAATAAATTGAATAAATATAATAAAGATCTTAAGATTTAAGTGATAAAAGCCAGATCAGTGTATGGATCAATGTATATACTTTACTACCATTGGGCAAAGAACAAAAATGGGGAAAGAAAAATCTCTCTCTCTCTCTCTTTCTCTCTCTCTCTTTTCTCTCTTATCTATCTATCATCTATCATCTATCTAAATATATATACGTGTACGTTTCTTATTTGCTTGCATAGAAAAAAGAAGATGTAGAAATAGGCATCAATGATAATAATGCCAAATAGTTTTTGAACACTTTCCCCAAATTCAAGTCCTTTGTTAGTCTTTTACATGTGCTATCTTACTGTGAATCCATGAGTCTCAAGCACCTTCTGTGCCCACAGTCTAGTTTTTGTTTTTAATTAAAGCAAACACCTAAAGGTCATATTTTAGGTAAATTGACCCTGCTCCTGTGGCCATATCCATTTGGAACAGAAATCAGCACCTTGGCAAAAGTCCACTGTCTACAGAACAGACATAAGGAGGACCAGGAGTTTATGCTATCATTAGAAACTCATCCTGTTTTAGGAACACTATGTATTGGATAATGGAATAAAACTCAATTGATCCAATCAGATTCTAACAGCATGCCCTTGGAAACAGACTCTGAGAATCTGAGTTTGTATGCCTCATATTTATTAGTGTGTGTTCTTTGGGGAAAAAATCTGTTAGGAGTTTGGAAAGCAAAATTAGGAATAAGGGGAGGTTCAATTGTAATGCTCTTGCAACTGAAGCTTCACCAAATCATGTGGGGAGCTCTGAAGCTGGAGGGTGCTTCAGAGTTGTCCCAACTGAGGCAAGAGGACTGCCTTATCAAATACCAACCACATTGACTAGTCATCAGACAGAAGCCTCCCTCAGGTTGGGAGCATAACCTTGGGCATGGTCGCTTCCTTGTTACAGGGCAATTGCTAAAGAGATTTGAAATGTTGTGTGAAATGTCAGCCATTAACTGTCAGGTGTAATCCTCCTAGGAGGTGGGGGGATGGGCGCTTGAAGGTCCTGAAGGGACACCTGGGCTGTCTACCATGACATCCTCTACAGAGTCTTAGGGAATTTTGAATGCAGGAAGCACTGAAAAAACATAGAAGCAGCAGAAGCAGACAGGATAGAGAAAGTGATAAACTGAGTCATAAAAGTGGTAGCATCACTACAGCATTAATGACAAGGTAATTTGGTTGTTACAAGGGTTTTTGGACATTTCGAGGAGGCTTTTGTATCTTCAACAATGATAAATGATATTTCAGATTTTCATAAACACCAACTGTAATTATGGAGACAGTTATATTCTCCCTATCTGTTTCCTGCGATCTGAAAAAGCAAACCTAAAAGACATAAATCTTAGGGATTCAACTGTGAAGTGCATCTTATTCAAGGGTATTTATAAGAACATGTGAAGAAAACTTCTCTGGAAAAAAAAAAGAAAACTTCTCTGGAAAATACAAAAATATTTTTGGAGAGATTAAGAATTTTGATTATTTGCTGAAAAAAATTATAGTTGACCCCTGAATAACATGGGGGCTTAGGGACACTGATCCCCACACAATTGTAAGTATGTGCACTACTTTTGACTCCCCCAAAACTTAACTCCTCATAGCCTACTATTGCCTAGAAGCTTACCGAGAATATAAATATAGTTGATTAACACTAGTTAACACTAGTTAGTTAATCAACTAACACATATGTTGTATGTCTTATATAGTGTATTCTTACAATAAAGTAAGCTAGAGAAAAGAAAATGTTATTAAGAAAATCATAAGGGAAATACATTTACAATACTGTAGTGTAAAAAAATCCCATATACATGGACCCATGGAGTTCCAACTTATGTTGTTCAGGGGTCAGTCATTACAATCAAATTTTTTTTCACATTTCTGTTTAAATACAGAGGCGGAAGATGTAAAATTGCATGCTCAATGACACAAAGTCTGATTTGTCCATTTTCATTATCCATTCAGTTTTTATCCTCTGTTTATGTGGAAAATCTAGAGGTTTCATACAAATTAATTTAAGAGCTAATTTTCAAGATAAATCACCTCAAAACTTTGTCCCTAATGATGTAAGTTGTTCTCACCTTTAGAAATTTTTCGTTTACTGGTTTCGCAGGCAATGCCCGTAAATTCGATTGGGCAGGAACACAGACATTCTCCCTCTAGCAGAATTATGGTACCTCCATTTTTGCACTGGTCGCATTTTCTCACACTGAATTCATTGATGTAATCTTCAATGGCACTTTCCAAATTTTGTTTCTTTAGGTGTGCATCTTTTATTTGCACTGGAATCAGATTATATATAGGAGATAGCTACAAGAAAGTAAAACATTTAACTTTAGGACTTTTTCTACTGATGGAGTTTGTGCAAATTCACTGAATTATCTATGAATTCATGACTTCAACGAAGGCTTATTTAGTGATTGCTATTGGTAGATATGATGTTAGCTTTTAAGACTATAGTAGTGACCCAAACTAGGCATGATCTCTGTGATCATGGAGATCACATTATAGAGATAAGAAAACTGATATTAAAATAATTTTATAGATAAATGGAAACTATGGTAGGTGCTATATGGGATGGGTACGTGTATTTTAAAAATGCACAATCATGGATTTAAACGTTTTTCAGGATCATATATTGACATTATTTTGAGAATTATTTTTGCTGCCTTTTTTCACTCCTCTCTTCCAGCAAGTAGCTAGGTGCTCACTGTCTCTCATTAAAGTAGAGGTTTGTGTGCAAGACCAAGATCAGAAAGTGTCTAAAAGCAAATTCTTTTTTAAAAAAGATTTTATTTATTTGAGAGAGAGATACAGAGAGCAAGAGAATGAGCACAAGAGGGTGGGGAGAGCAGAGGGAGAGGGACAAGCAGACTCCTTGCTGAGCAGAGAGCCCAAAGAAGCTGAGCTTGATCCCAGGACCCCAGGATCATGACCTGAGGTGAAGGCAGATGCTTAACTGACTGAGCCACTAGGCGCTCCAAGGAAAATTCTTTACTGCCTTCCTCCCCCACCCCCTTAAAGCATGGATTTATTAAGAAATTTTTGCACGAAAGAGTGTGAGAATCCCACTGAGGAAGGAGATTCCTCCAGCCTTGGTATGTCTCTCAAGTAGCACGAAACCCTACCTAGATCTCTGACAGCTATTTTGGGAGGTAGCAGGAACTATGGAGTGCCCCGAGGGAAGTTAGGTCCATATCTGGCACCAAGGGTTCAGTTCTGTCAAGGACTCCCATGCACAATCTTGGCATAGAAGCCTTGGAACCACTTGACTTCAAGTGAACATGTGAGTTTGAACAATGAGGTTACCATCACCACCGTGAACTAAATGTTTACATATATTAAATTCCCAGCTTCCCAACAGACACATCAGGGTTCTTGTATTAATTTGGGCAACAAGGAAAGGCATCCCTGAACTTAATACAATAAATGAATGAAGGCTGAATTTTCCAGCATATGGAGGGATGGGATCTCAATGCCAGATTTATTTAGGCTTACAGAAAATGAAATAAAATGATTTATTCTACACACTTAAATTCCTAGAGTAAGACACATAGCTCCCACAACAGATGCAGGAAAGCTTGGGAAAAACTTTCCTGAGAATATAACCATTAAGCTGAGACTTGAGGGTTTGAGGGTGCTGGGCCATAAAGAAGAATATTCTAGTCATACAGAAATCAAACAGTTCCTACGGTGGAGAAACCACAACATATATTGAAAGTGTGCATCATATGTCTCTATAAGCAAATTCAATTGCGTGACTCTAAAGAGCCACTTGAGTAAATAAATCATTAGAAATTGAGGCCCTGTAGTGGCAAAGCATTTTGAAACAGGAGGCCACAAAATTTAAAAGAAATTGGAATCCAAAGGCTCAAGAAAGAGGAGATAAAAAAAAAAATACCACAAATTCCCATGAGAGAGTGATGATGGATTAAATAATGTCAACTGATTTTTCTATTTTTCTCTGATGACAACGACAAAAGCTGAACAAATAAAACCAAAATTAAAGATCTGCTTGAAGGCCCTGGAGAACTAATGAGGTAATACTTAGTGGGTAAAGATCTGGGAGGAGGTGGAAATGCAGTGAGGTGAGCTTCGTGTTTTTGGACCACAGTGCCCTTGACATGTTTCCTAATTTGAGAACAGGCAACAGAGGGGCTGAGGTAAAAGAGCATGTTACTGGGCTGGGGGAAAATTCAGGGATGGCAAAGGAAAATAAGCCACGCTTTGGGTTGGGATCAAAGGACTACAGCTCAGAAGTAAGAGGGTATTGTAAGTGGGGCAGCTCTGGCAAAGACTGTGGTGTGGTTTGCATTAGGATAATCTTGGGAGTGCCTGGGTGGCTCAGTCAGTTAAGCATCTGACTCTTGATTTTGGCTCAGGTCATGATCTCAGGGTGGTGAGTTCAAGCCCCTCATTGGACTCTATGCTGGGTGTGGAGCCTACTTAAAAAATAAAAATAAAAAACCCTCCAATAATCTTGAATCATTGTAACCCCAGCTTTCCAGATGTAAATATGTATTTCCTTTGGAGGAAAATAAAATCATTTCAGGCCTCCAGCTACTCCTAGAATGATTTTTAAAGTATAGTATCCAGCCTCCAATAAAAGTAACTAGGTACACAAAGAAATAAGGCAACATGAATGAGAACCAGTAGGAATACTAGACACTAGAAGCAGGAGCTGTGAGTATGCCAAGATTTGAGTGACTCGACTTTTAAAGAACTAAATTTGGTACCTTGGTGGCTCAGTCGGTTAAGTGTTTGGCTTTGGCTCAGATCATGATCTCAGGGCACTGGGATTGAGCCCCCATGTTGGGCTTCCTGCCCAGCAGGGAGTCTGCTTCTCCCTCTCCCTCTGTTCCTACCCTCTGCTCATGCTCCCTTTCTTTCTCTCTCACAAATAAAGAAAGAAAAAATCGTTTTCAAAAGAAGAATGATGTTTACACGAGCAGGGGGATAAAAGAAGAAATCAACAATTTTAGCAGAAAACTGGAAATTATTTCTTAAAGCAGAGGATTTGGAAAAAAGTAAATAAATAGAACTATTATAATTTGATATTATAATATTCCAGTTAATGGCCCAGTTACATAGAAGCTATAATAAAACTGAAGCAAATTTAATGAATTGGAATATAGGCTGAAAGAAAATACTCACAATGAAACATAAAGAAATAAAAGATTGGAAAATACAGGATGAGGGTAGAAAGCATAAAAGACAGTGTGAGAAAGTGAACGATTCATATAATTTAAGTCTCAGAAGGAGAGAATATTTAAGAGGCAATATTTGAAGAGCTAATGGCTGAGAATAAAACAAACCGGTGAAAGACAAGGTACCCCAGTAATGAGGTTGCAATTTTTTCTTTTTACCTCCTGGCATATCAGAGTAAAATTTCTAAAACAAAGGCAATTTAAGATTTTATTTTTAAGTCATCTCTCCTCCTGACATAGGGCTCAAACCCACAACCCTGACATCAAGTGTCACATGCTCCACCGACTGAGCCAGCCAGGTGCCACAAATCTTAAAATCATCTTAGTGAGAAGCCAAGTTGACTCGCATACTTGATTTTAATAGAAACAATAAAAAATATAAACCGTTCTAGGACAATGAGATATTCAGAGGAGATTTTTAAAAAGATGACCGGGAAACTTCTACCACTCTCAAAAAAAAAAAAAAAAAAAAAAAAAGAAAGAAAGAAATCTAAATTGATTGTAGATCAAAAAAGTAAAAGCAAAGCAATAAAGATTCTGGAAGATAATATACAGGAAAGCATCTTCAAGACCTTGAAGTGGAGAAAGATTTTAAATAGGACACAACAGCACTAACTATAATGAAAAGAAATACATATGTGACTACGTCAAAATTTTTTTTTAAAATCAACATTATAATTCCTGACATGATGTACTGAGAAGGACATAACATCATTTCTGTGGTATTCTTGCCAAAATGCATAACCTCAATCTTCTCTAAGCCTAAATTGAGAGAAACTTGACAATATAGCTAACACTCATCAAAACATGTCAAGGTCATGAAAGACAAGAAAAGTCTGAGAAACTGTCCCAGGATGGAGGAGACTAAGGGGACATGACAACTAATTGCAATGTGGGATTTTGACTGGATCATGGAACGGAGAAAGGATATTAGGGGAAAAACTGGTGAAATTTGAACAGGTCTATGGGTTAGACAATGTTAATTTTCTGATTTTGATGAACTGTACGATGGTTATGCAAGTTGTTAGCGTTAGAGGCTGCTGGTTATAGGGTGAATGTGAACTCGATGCTATTTTTGTAGTTTTACTCTCTGTACTGTTTATGCATTTTTACAGTAAGTCTAAAATTATTTCAAAAGAAAAAGCCAGAGAACATCTGTTATTAAAAAAAAAAATCCAAAAGCATGGAAGTCCTCAAGTGAAAGAGAACAATTATAATACTTTTAAGTGAGAATAGGGTCATATCCAGAATATACCAAGAACTTCTACAGTCCACACAATTGTCTACAGATTTATACTTTATGATTTAGTATAAAATATTTAGATTTCAACAATGGTATATTTATTTGGAAGAAAGTAACCTCTTACTGACTTTGCCACATTGGCACGAACAACATAAGCATGTGGTGGAGTTATTTTGATTTTTGGGAAAAGAAATTCATCTTGTTTTACCCATCAAAGGAAAGTCAAGGCCAGATAATCTAAGATACAGGAATAGAGGGTCATGGAGAAACTACAGTGTGGATGAAATGCACAAACATTGTTCCAAGAGATAAAAACGAAGGTCATGCAGTGACAACAGTCTCAGAGGAGCCTCAAGCCCTGGAGGTGATCCCACAAGAAAACAAGGCACGATTAAAACTTATTTTGTGAAGTGTTCCTGAAGAGCCACACCTTTTTCTGATGAACTTTGGCTCTCTGCTAATGAAGAAAAGAGTTCTAATTTTTCTCCTATCCTAGCTAACTCCATCTTTCTACGATTCGTAGATGTATGTTCAGTGGATGTAATCTGTCACAAAACTTGACAACATACAAGTAAATTGAAATATAGTTTAATATGAGGTACACTGAGGTTTCTAACAGGCTTCCAAACTGATTAATCTAGGTGCCAAGTGTAGTTTGTTGTTAGAAGGAGTGTTATTTTCATCCCTGTACAAGAGAATTTAGAACGATTTTTTGCTTTAGCTTTTTAGCTGTAATGACTACAGCACAAAGCACTGGTACTACAGCTCTTTAAAATTCTATGCTTTTTTAATATCTGGTGCATCGCTGCTAAGAGTTGCATAATATAACAAAAATGGTAGGCAAATAGTTCATTATTACTCAAGTTGCTCCAGAAAGAGCTTAATATAGCCTGACATGTGGGTGCATATGATTGGTTGAGGGAAAAACAAGAAAGGGGGAATAGAGGGTGGGAAAGGCAAGACAAGGCAAAACCAACACAAAATTTATGCTAGGAGGACCCACCCATTGGCTCGAGCTTGGTCACAAATTTGGGTATATTTTCTAGTGCATTGAGTAAGACGACTGAATTTAATGATCACATACATTTAAGAAATATTTACACAATTCCCAAGAGAAACAAAATGATCCTTAAAACTGAGATTAAAGAGTAATATCTCCCATGAGTTCTCATGAAGTAGACATCGTATTACAAAACATCCTTCCAGTAAATAAAGCAGTGGGTTATATAACTTTGTTTTTTATAGTGCCAAAACAAAACTTTACAGGAAGCCAATTTGCTCTATGCTAGCTATACTGATCTCTGCTGCTTTGAGCTAGAGGAAGTAACACACTTTAGATCTCTCAGGCAATTACGAATAAACGTAATTTCCTCAGCTGACATTTTTATAACTAGTTTGTAGCAGTAAGCTTAAGAAGAAACCAAAGTTCAGCTATTCTGTTGAGATAAAATGTAGAAATGTTGTATTAACATTTGGGCAAGCTGGAAATAGAATTAATATACTTCCATGAAAACTGAAGCTCTGACAAAAGTTAATCTGAAGGTGAGGTCCTGTCCCCTCTACATAAAGAAGGGTGGAGGAAAAATTCTTGGGCTGAGTTAGTGCATTCCTCAAGAAGGTTGGGGTCTGCTGAAGCACACAGGCAAAGAAAATTAGAGCCACAAGGTTCTACTTAATAGAGCATGGCCTTAGTTACTTTATGTTTTTATTATATTTTTTTCCATAGTTACTTTAACATGGAAACATATGCTATGCTATGTTGAGTTATGTTATATAAAACTAAGTATTTTACTTAGAAAAATCTCTGTAAGATTCTTTAGAGTAATATAACTTCCTAGTGTTTCTTCCAAGAAAAACTTTGTTAAGATGAATACCTAGGTAATTGATTTAATTTGCTCAGATTAAACATAAATCAGTTAATAGTTTAGTGTAGGTGGGTGGGGAGAGGTTTTGCCAATTCTTTAAACAATTAAATAGAAGGGGCAATCATTTTAATATGAAGACCATCCTTGGTGTTTGAACATGTCATTCATAGACAATAGAATGCTTCAGCTTATCAAAGAATTAATTAGTGATTATAGACTGTTTAATTGCCTCACAGAATAGCTTCTAAACCAGAAAACCAGTTCTACTGGATTTATAAAATCAAAATTACTTGAAATCTATTTTAAGGTAAAACCACAGTATGTATTATATCTCTTTAGGGATTTAAAAGCCACACAAAATCAATAAAACACATAGTATTTTACTAATTTCTGCACTTTATCTACAAGAAGATATATTTTCAAAAGTGATTTCTGGGTGACTTACTATAGCTGTCATTTTCCTAGGTAGAAGAGTCATATGAAAAGTCCAGGCTTCCAATATATAAGAAAGAAACGTATACAGGTACTTGGAATGCCTAATAATCTAAAAATCTGGAGATAAATAATTGCCCTTGAAAATAAGATAAACTGGGATGCCTGGGTAGCTCAGTGGTTGAGTGTCTGCCTTCGGGTCAGGTCGTGATCCCAGGGTCCAGGATGGAGTCCCATATCAGGCTCCTTGCAGTAGAGACTGCTTCTCCCTCTGCCTATGTCTCTGTGTCTCTCATGAATAAATAAATAAAATCTTTTTAAAAAACAGAATAAACTATAGTTTGCATCCAGCCAGTATGCCTGTCCAAATGACCTGATGAAGGTCTTTGCATAATTCTAGCAAATCTAATAGTAAATCTTTAGTAGATGCTTTATTTACTTGAGATTTTTAAAATCAGCTCTAGAATGTAATGGATGATGGTTAAGACCTTCTCAGAGAACAATCCTGGATCCATACAAGGACAGCTGAACTTCCTTTGTAGAGATGAGAAGACAAACCAATTTAAGTGTCCATGTGGATGTAAACATTTTTCTAAATTAATTCTTCTTTCATTTAAGATTTTCTGAAAGATTTATTTATACTGAGTTCAAAATAATGAATTTAAGTGTGTTTAAACATAATAAAAGTTTCTCTTCTGACGAATTTCATATATAGACATGTTAATTTGGTCAACTTTTCCTCCCTGTTGTCCTACTTTTGGGCAAAATATCTGAAGTTTCCTAGATATGTTAGCTCAATTTCTACAACTTAAAGGGAAAATAGATTACAATTTTCAAGTTTCTGAATTCTTCCTCCACATAAATGAGATGGTTTTGGTAGCCTCACTCATTCTTTGAAGACAATAAAATGGGATGAAGGGACAAAACTTTCCAATAACCAATCCTATCAAAATGCCAACATGATTGTAACTCGAGTTAATCAACCTGAAGTTGGGATGCCTGGGTGGCTCAGTGGTTGAGCGTCTGCCTTTGGCTCAGGTCGTGATCCTGGGGCCCTGGGACTGAGTCCTGCATCGGGCTCCCTGCATGGAGCCTGCTTCTCCCTCTGCCTGTGTCTCTCCCTTTCTCTTTTTCTCTCTCTCTGTATCTCTTATGAATAAATGAATAAAAATCTTTTAAACAATGCAAACTGAAGTCAACGGTCATCAAAGAAAAATCTGATCTGAGGGAAAATTGTGAAACATACAGGCAACACTAAAAGCTATAAGAGGAAGTAGGAAAACAAGGAATAAAGAAAAATACATACTCTTTGTAATTAGTTTTGGGGGGAGAGAATGGGGCTAAGTGAGACTAGCATTTATATCTTCACAAATATGATGCAGTTTGTTTCCCCTAGAAATAAGTACCAATAAGCTGAAGACTATAATGAAGATACAAAAAAGAAAGAATTTCTGGACCATAAAGACTGCTCACCCTTGGTCTTATTTTCTGAGACCTTATGAATTTCCTTTTCATTAAGGCCTCTAGTGATTCTCCTGCATTGGAAGTGGTGCTGTGATGCCACCGAAAGCAAGAGACGGAAGGGAACCACAATTCCTGGGCACCTACTTTGTGTCAGTCTGTGCTACAGGCTCTACACAAGCAATACTACCAAATCCTCAAAATAAATATGAAGCCCTGGAGAAGTTAGTGTTTAGTATAGAAGTTAGAGCTTTACACCTTTAGAGGACAGAGACTTCAACTCAGCTTGGGTTGGTGTAATGTCACAGGTCATGCCTTTCCTCTAAGCCATGCTTCTTTCCAGGGATGAAATAGGAGTGCATTTGAATGCACATTTCTTTTAGATGAAGTTAACTATTCAAATGAACCAGTATTAAATAGGAAAACTTAAAAATCTTCCATTTAGAAGCAAATGCACCTTACTTTGTGATTTAGGAGCACTGGAGCATCATTTAAGGAAGTGGCCCACTTTGTAAAGTCACTTATATTAATTGTCTTGGCTCCTTTGAGAAGCTTCTCTTTCAATTCATATGCATATTTTTGGGTTCCTCCTCTTATCAGTGAAATAACATCATCAATGATGCCATCACTACTGATGTTTACTGAGAAAAGAAAAAGGATATAAGTGAGTATTTATACTTTTGTGACATTTGAGTAACATTTATTGAACCTTTGATAAAGTATAATCTAGTATATTATCGAATTTTATTTTATTTTATTTTATTTTATTTTGAATTTTATTTATGTAATTTTTCTCACCCCAAATCACCAAGAGCAATTTTTATTAGTGGCCAATTGTAGACTTCAATTCTCTTAAGAAAAATCACAACAGTATGATAATTGAGAATACATTGATGATACCAAGTTCATCATTTAAGCATATGCACATGTAGGAATTACACATGACTTTGGGATATAGTATACATTTTTGTTTCAGATTTACCTTCATAGTTATATTTTATATAGGTTTGTTTTAAGCTATTTTAATATTATGAAAAATCAAAGAGTGTAAAAAGAATCAGGTGAAAAGCAAAATTTATTTCCATTCCACATTCCTACCCATCTCTTCTTCAGTCTTTCTCTCCAGACTGAATGACTTTTAACAAAATTTGTGAATCTGATAGAGTTGTACATTTTTGAACTGGAAAGGAATTTCGAGAAGATTTTTGTTTATCCTTTCTCCTTTTTATAAATAAGAAAACTGAGACTTGGGTAAGTAGAGTGACTGGTCCAAGACTAGCTTAAGGGTTATATATTGAAAATAAGACATTTGATGGCAAGTTGTTTTCTTTGTGCTTCATCAATGATTTCCAATCATGGCCACATGTTAGTGGTTGGTTTGCTTTTAAAAATATCAGGCTTTCCTTTCTCTGTCTCCCCACTATTATCTGATTCTTTAAATGTGAGCCTCAGCTATTTGTATGTCTGAAAATATTCTCAGAATAAATTAGGGTAAAAACTGAGAACTCTAGCACTACCTCATACTTGTAAATCTGCTAAATATTACCAACACAAGCAACATTTATATCAAAGATATTTATATTTTTTAAAAGGTTATGCACTGATTGAGTGTTAAGGATGGATTGGGATTTCTTCCCCCTCCCCCAGTTTTATTAAGATATATTGACACACTGTAAAAGCTTAAGGTGTACAACATAATGACGACATACACATATATTGCAAAATGATTACAATAAGCTTAGTTAACATGCATCACTTCATATAGTTAATAAAAAATGTATTTTTTCCCCTTGGGATAAAAACTTTTAGGATCTATTCTCTTAGTGACTTTCAAACATATTGCAGGCACAGTTAAGTATAATCATCATGCTGTATGTTACATCCCCAGTATTTATTTATAAACTTATAACTGGAAGTTTGTACCTTTTGACTCATTGGATAAAGATGGATTAGGGGTATTGAGTCAGGTGGAAGGCTGAGTTAGGCCAATGGTTTTGGTCTTCTCCTTTCTTAACAGTCACCTGCAGTATTGCCACTAGCCCATTCAGAAATTTTGTTAAGACATTTTTATACCATTGGCCTTCTACCATTGCCATGATAAAGATGCAAATCTAAAATGCCTTTCCCAGAGCTGTGCACTGTATGACCTGCACAATGGTGATTCTAATGAATACATGTCCACAGGTTACTTGTGTTTATAATGGTTTGAGAACCACCGTAAAGGTAAAATAGTTTTGAAGCACTTTAATTTTTTTTTAAATAAAGAGAGCAGACAATAGAGTCTATAGTGACAGGGCAGATCTCATTGACAACACTTCCTTCTTTTTTTTTTTTTTTTGCGTAGTGAGTTAGGTCATACTTACCAGTTTCACCCTCACCCCTCTTTAAACAATCATCTTTATTAAACTTTCCACTGATTTCAACTCCAGCTTCCAGAGAAAAATCCAGATTAAACCCGAGGCATCTCTGTACATCCCTTAGTTCAACACCTGTTTAATGTATTTAGTTGAAAAAATATTAAATAATATCTATCAACATCACAAATAAATTCATTATGCTATTTTGTAAGAAATTATTCCTAGACATTATTACTGAGCTCAAAGACACAGTCATATCTACCCTGCTTTGTCCTCATATTAGAATCTAGTGGCCTCCTTTTGAATTTGCTTGTCAACTTAATAACAAAGGATATATAAATTTACTCTTTGTTTGAAAGGGACATAAGTTAGAATAGGGCAGTTATAGTAAAGTTATTTACCTCTAAAATCATGGAAAGGAGACACTGACATCTAACATATATTGAATGCTTATCATATACTCAAATCATTCTTAGCGTTTTGTATGCATTAATGAATTTAATCCTCACATTGGCCTTTTGAGGTAGGTTCTGTTATTATCCTCATTTTATAGATGAGGTTATGGCATGGCAGAGCAGAAAAGCAATCTGCCGATGGAATTCAGCAATTAGCCAAGTTAGTATTTGAACCAGAGTTGTCTGGTTGTTTAGCGTTTCTCTGTATTGACTTCATAATTTGGTTGTGGGATGCATCAACATCTCTTGATCCTCTTTGGAAGACTGTTCATTATTAAGGTAGCTAGTTTATTGCTTTGAGCAGATGGCTTATATATATGACAATTTTGTTTTGGTCCTATGAATACTATTTAGTAGATATCAGTCTTGGAAGCTGACTCACTGAGGTGTATGGATGCTATAGTTACTAGGAAGAAAAATCCTAATATTTCATTCAAGTCTATGATTTATTATCTAATTATTTTATTTTAAGAGTAAACTGCCTCAATTCATAGACCATGTCAGTTTTTCCTCTTATCAATCCAGATCATACATACACACACATGCCAAAGTGCTTTATGAAAAAGGAAAAGGAGAAATTAAGTTAATCCCAGGGTCTCATGGTGAAATTTAGAAGTGGGGACCTGGGGACATTTAAGCATTCATTTATTCAATAAATATTTTTGTGTACCCACAACTAGTGAGAACATGAGAAATATTGTGTGGCTTTCCCCATGAGAAAGGGAGAAGGAGGATTAAAATAGAAGACCACACTAGAAATCTAGAATACTAGGTTTATGACCTTAACCTAAGAAACATAAAGACTTTGATTCTGAAGATGTGGATGAAAATATCTAAGTGATCCCAACAGTCTTAGATTTTCTACCTCTGCTGTGGAACTTTTCGTGTTCAGACAGGGTCTGGACATCCCAAATCTAGGTGGAGGACATGGCTTGGTTCTCAGGTATTGCCAAAGGAGAAGTGAGAAAGATGACTTCCCTTTCAAAGATACCAGAACTGACCTAATGACCCTCGTCTACCTAAGGCCAGATGTTAAGTAAAACAGAAGTGGGTAGGTCTGAGTTATCCAAGTTTAAAGATTTCAGCCTATTGAGCTTTTTCACCAAAACAATTCTTAGCCTAGAGTGTTCTTTTGTTTTGATCACCTTGCTGAGCCTTTCTCTTCTGATTTCCAGGTTACTCAAGACTTGGTTACTTGTGCGCCTCGCCCATGTGATATCTATCAAGATAGCCTACCAGGTAGAACTAATGAAACTTTATTTTTCTGTCTCATAGGATATAGTTCTGCAGGGCACTATAAACCAAATAATCTCATATTCCAACCTCCTGGCAGTGCTTCTTCCTGCTCAAGATGGAGGGAATTAACAGCAATTAGTTCTGGCCATGACATGTTTGTTTCATCTATAAAGTGCTTATCAACCATGGAGGCAGCATCAGGTTTTAAGCTCATAGCCATATCCCATTCTTCACTTGACACAGATAGTGGCTATAGGGAAGGAGCCATAGAAATGGCTTTTGGCAACACTTCCCTCCCTAACAGACACACTGAAAAACTTTGAGGGCAGAGAATGGAGATATACTAGCATCTATCTCCTCTTTAAGGAATATTATAACTAGACATAATTACTCACAAAGAAATAATTAAAACTTATTAACAAAGTCACTTTGCATCTACCTTATTCTTAGAAGTTTAGAAGAAGCCTTTAGGCCAGTACAGTAAGTGTGTAGTTCATAGACCTTTCCTGTACATGTGGTAGACATTGATGACCAACCATGGCCTTCTTTCTCATGTTTCAAGTGTGGTCAGAAATCTACTTAACATGGACCCAATTCAACTACCACCATATGATTAGAATTGTCATAAGATGTGGTAAAACTAATTTTCTACTCTGGCTTTAAGACATTAGACTTATATGATCTTAACATTACTTTCTTCCTCCTGAGAAAATTTAGAACAATATTTTCCTTCCAATACTGAAGAATCATTTGGAGGATAATTGTCATACATATAATTAAGCCAGTTTATTGATTAAGAAATAGATTATGTAAATTGTCTCTTGTACTTTTTTCACCTTGTAAATCGTATTTCACTAAAAGCAGCATCACCAACTGATATTAAATTACAGTACAATTTTGTGCATTTCTCAATAATGCATGACCAAGTCATTTTGTTTGAGATAAAAGCCAATTTTCTGTTTCATAGGGTTTTAGATGCCAAAGGGCAGAGAGAGTTCTTTCAGAGAAGCAGGTTATAGGACTTTATTTTAAAGCCTTTAACTAATTAAAAAGGTTAGCAATAGAAATAATGATGCTAAAACAGCATTAGAAGTTAGAGCTCTGTTTCCAAGTATACCTTTCTCTTCCATGGATGCTTTATCCAAAACATATATTAATTCATAGTACCCTCCTAGAGACCCAGAGCTACTATAGTGAGTTCCATAGGTTTCCAAAAATGCAAAATATTCCCCCTTTTCATAGGTAGATGGCAGAGCTTTTATATCATCCAAGAAAGTGGTTTTCAGCATGACATCCCGACTTCTCATCACAAATCTTCCCAGATGAATTACTCCTTTCACATGCAGAAACACTTTTTCCTTTGTTGTAGAGAGGGAAAAAAATAAATTTCATTACCATTATTTCAAATTTAAAAATGACAAAATTTGAATTTCCCCAAGCAATAATTTTTTTGCCAGTGACCATAGATATCATTTTTACCCAGAAGGATGGCAAACTCAAAATACTATTAGTCCCAACTGTTAATGAAGATGTGCAGCAACTAGAATTCTCCAGCGCCACTGGTGGGAATGTAGAATGGCCTAACCACTTTGGAGAACTACTTGGTAGTTTCTCATAAAAGTAAAGATACACCTACCCTATTGTCAGTAATTCCACATCTACATATTTACAAGATGTCACAAGATCAGTGACAAAACAGTCCACAAAGAGATCCATACCAGACTTTTTTTTTTCCATACCAGACTTTATAGCAGCTTTAGTCAGAATAGCTTAAAACTACAAACAACTCAAATGTCTATCAACAGAAGAATTGATAAATCGTGGTATGTTCATGAAAGGGAATACTAGTTAGCAATAAAAAAGAGCAAACTACTCATACACACAACAACATAAATAAATCTCAAAAATATTACGCTGAATGAAGAGTCTACCTAAAAGAGTGTGTCCTGTATGATTTCATTATGTGAAGTTCTAGACCAGGTAAAACTAAACTATGGTCAGAGAAATTGGAAGAGTGGTTGCCTCTCAGGCACTAGGGGGATTTACTGAAAAGGGGATGAGGAATTTTCTTGAGGTGATGGAAATGTTCTACATCTTGTTTGATGAGGTGGCTAAACAGGTAGTTACAAAAGTCAAAACTCGTGGACCTATAGGCTTAAAATGTTTGCTATTTGCATGTTATTGCTTGAAAATTATACCTCGCTAAGTTGATTGTAAGATGTTGACGATGGAAGGAGAGGTAGCCATTATAATGCAGCCCAATCTTTTAATTTTGTGGATGGGGAAACTCTGATCCAAAATTTCAAGTTATTTGCCCCAGATCACAAAAATAGTCTGCGACAGTGATGAGTACTACAAACCTAGGTCTCAGGTCTCCCTGTTCCTTCCCCTAAGTCCTTTCCATTTTTGATAACAAAGATAGGATAGACAACATTTTAAGACATGAAAGCTAAACGGGTGAATAGTTAAGCATTCCTAGAGATGATGGTTTAAATTTCCAGGAGAAAATCAGGGCAGTGACAAAGAACTATGTGTTTCAATGCCTCAGATTATCTCAGTCAAAACTAAACTACAATTGACACCTATGATTTTGTAGAGGGTTCATTTAAGTTTTTCTTGCTATAGCAGTGGTTAACATATGTTGTTTGCAGATAAGTTTAAAACATTTTTATTATTTTTTGAAAGTATATCTTGATGTATATGAACATCACACCAAACTTTCTGTGTTCCAGAAGCACAATTGTTCACATTGTATGACTTCAGGTGATGGTCAGTTGTTCACACTGTATGACTTCAGGTGATTGAAAAGAAGTTTAAAACATTTTATTATTTTTAAAAAGTATATCGTGGTGTATATGAACTTCACACCAAACTTTCTGTGTTCTAGAAGCACAGTTTTTCACATTGTCTGACTTCAGGTGAAGGGTCAGTCTTTAACAAAAATCTTAAAGAAACTCACTCCACATAATAAGTCATATAAATTCTCCCTCTGATGATTTGCATAATAATTCTTGGTGGAGTCTCAAAGATGCACCAAACATAATTAGATTCCTTCTTATTGTTGCTAAAAGTAGAAGGTATAACTCGTCAGAAAGATGTTAACATTCTTTGGCTCAACTTATTTCAGAGGCAGGTCTTAGATCATTTCCATCTCAGATAATAAAAACAAAATATCTCAGCCTTACTTGTCTAATCATTTGCTATCGATTTCTCTGGCCTCATGAGAAGCGAAATTCCTTCAAAAAATGTTCTCTACTGACTCTTTTCAACTCCTCTCTTCCTAGTTTCTCTTACATCTAATCCAATCATGCAGCTCCCCTCACTATTTCTACAAAACTTCCCCTGTCAAGGTCACCGATGACCTTCACAATGCTAAAGCCCGCAGTGGTTCCTTCTTTGACCTATTAGTACAACTGACACAGTTCGTCACCCCTTTCTCCTTGATAGAGTTTCCTTTCCTATCTTCTAGGGCAGTTCTTCTCAAACTGTAAAGTGTGAACAAATCTCTTATAGAATCTTGTTAAAATGCAATTCTGATTCAGCAGGTCTGGGTTGGAGGCTGAGGTTCTAGCTTCCCAGTGATGTTGATGTTGCTGATCCATGGACCACACTTTGAGTAGTCAGGTTCTAAGGCATTATACTTGCCACATCTTGCTGTCCTCTGCTGGTTCTTCCTCTTTTGCCAGACCTCTTTCTATTGAAGTTTCTTGAGTTTAGTCTTGGATCTTCTCTTTTCCACTTACATTAACTCTTAGTGGTCACACTAAACCCTGTGACTGTAAACACCATCTACATATGAACAACTCCCAAACTGATAGCTCAATCCCAGAACTTTTTCCCAAACTCCAGACTTAGAACACCAATTTCCTACTTGACTTCTCCAAATGAATGTCTAACAGACATCTGGAACTTAATCTAACTAAAATATAACTACTGCTTTTCTTCTCTCAACCTGTTCTACTTAAAGTTTTCTCTATCTCAGTTGGTAGCAACTCTATTCTTCTAGTTGCTCAGGTCAAAAAACCTTAGCATCTATGCTTGACTCTATACCTGGCCTATTCATCTTCACATACCTGGATTTCTGCAGTAGTTTTAAACAAACCTTCTTGCTTTTGCTCTTACCTCTCATAATTTCTTCTCATGTAAGACATATTAGAGTATGTCAATCTTCATTTAAAAAGTTCTAGTGACTTCCCATGTCACTCAGAGAGAAAGCTAAACTCTTAGAGCAGGCTATGAGGCCCTTCATGATCTGTTCAGGGTAACCTTTCTAACCCATTCTCTTTCTGGTTCACTTTGGCCCAATGGGCAGAGATATGTTCTCACCTTAGAAACCTGTCTCTAACAGTTCCTTCTGCCGGGTGCAAATATGACTATTTGGCTATTTACTCTCCTTCAATCTTCACTCAGACATCATTTCCTTAGAAAAGTCTACCCTGAGCTTTCTTTTTAACACTACCATTTGCCTTTGCCTAGCACTCCTGATTTCCCTTGTGTTATTCTCCTTTTTGGTTTATTCCACAGCACTTATCACTTTCCAAACAATATATAGCTTGCTTTTTTGTCTTGCTTTTTTTGCTGTTACATTTATTTTGTCTATCTCTCCCTGCTGAACTTTCAGCTCCATGAGGACAGGAATCTTTTTTTAGTTTGATTCACAAATGTATTGTAAGCCCCTGGAACAGCCCCTGGCCACATAAGAAATCCACAGTATATATTTGTTGTGTGATTTAAAGAATTTCCCAGCCACATACTTTGAAAGATGGGTATGCATATTAATAAACAGACAAGGTACAGAGCCATACAAAACAATTATATGAATAGGAATAACATCAGTACGAAGAGTGAATTATTATTATTTTTAAAGGAGGAGAAAGTATCTAAACAGGTGATCATGTCATCAGAAAAGGAAGAATGAACATTTTACAAGGATCATACTGATTAGAGAAAGTATTTTCTATTTTTCAAAGGAGATGAAACAAAATTCTAAATCTGGATTAAATATCAAAAAGCAAATACATTTTCAAAGCCTTAAAGGTATGATTACAAAGTAAGCAGACCAATTTCATATGCAATGTGTACAATTTCATGGCATCATTACTTTAGAGACACTTTACAGTAAGTCAGCGTAAGGCATTGCAATGAATTACCAAAATTCCTCTGTATGATTCTTCATTGTGATTCGGAAGATGGTACAAATTGAACAGCCTATTACCACAATCCCAGTCCAAAAGCACACTCTGAGTTCTTGATACACTTGTTCTCTGTCTGTTAACACCAAACATCTCACCCACTTATTTTACTGCAGATCCCACAGGGCTCTTCTCCAGTTAGCATCCTTCTCCCTGAACTTCTAGCTACATATTTGAGGATTTATTGAGTATTATTTTTTTCTCTCTCTCTCCAATAAACTCTATCTGTTCCAAACATTTAGAAGAGGCGGTTTGGTTAGTTCGAAAAATATCCCATTATATCCTTTATATTAAGTGTTTGGCCTTACCTTCTTAGAAGAATGTGTCAAGAATAGTTGGTAAATTTCATTTTTGGAATAATTAAATTGAAGCTTACTCTCAACATTTATAGAGGAGTCTATGGAGGAGTTAATTTTACACTTTTCAATTGCTTCAGTAGGTGTGAGTTTTAAAGCTATATCTGCTTTAAAATTTGATGTCTTCTCTTGGACAATTTTTTTGAATGACTGTATCTGTTCTTCGTAATATTCAGTTCTGAAATTTTTATCGGCTTTGGTCTAAAAGAGAATGATGAAATGCTGTTAAAATCCACATACAAAAAACCACCCTAAATAAACACAGAATAAAAGAAAAATCAAGCAATTATTTTAAAGGTATTTGAGCAAGGGAGTTAAGAGTGAAACAATGAAGAGACATTGCTGGGCTCTGATATAGAGTCCATGACTCTGAAGACAGGACACAGTAATCTGAGAGTCTGATTCCTAGTCTGTGAAAAAGAGATGATCACCATACATAGTCCAAAGCCTGTTTCAAGATAATGCAATGAGATAATGCATATGAAGGGCTTAGAACATAGCAAGCTCTCAAATGTTAATATGTTAACATTTAAAGAGCAATTTGCATAACAGATGCACAATATACTTCCATTTGTGTAAAAAAAAAAAAAAAAAAGAAAGAAATGATAAAGCCAACCCTGACTGAAGGCTTCTGGGGTAGCACTGCTTTGAATATTTTACACATGTTAATTAATTTAAGAAAAAAGGTTAAGACTTGAGCTCTGCACTCAACCCTTACACTCTCCTGTCCATTAATACATGCATACATGTTTATATATATATATATACACACACACACACACACACACATACATAATAAAAAAACAAAAAAAAAAAAGAAGAAAAAAAAAGAATAGGAAAGCAAGCAGGTGAAGAAAGGTTTTTACCAGCACAGAAACTTACTGGAAAAATCAACAAAGCATAGTGTTTGCCCTTGAGAGGGGGAACTGTGAAACGGAAATCTCTAGTGGGAGCAGGCTTATATTTCCTTGAATAATCTTTTGTGATCTTCAGACTTTTTGATTTTTTTTTGCCACATTCATTTTTGCATGGAAAAAAAAACACTGAACTAAACAATCTAGTTAAAAATTAAAACTTTCAATTAAAAAATTCTTTGCCAACTTGACAATTGTCAGGTATCAGTGGGAGGCTTGTTAATCTCAGCGATTAAACTCTCTTTCCAGTGATCCTCTGCAATAGCTTGTAACTCCTGTCTGAGAAGGAGAAGTTCATCTCTTCAGTCAGCAGCACAAGTTAGATTCCACAGCATTCTGTGGGGACTGTTCCGCACAGGGAAGCCTATGTCTGAATGTTTCTGTACCTCCACAAAATCCCTATGTTAAAATCCTAATGCCCAATGTGATGGTAGGAGGGGGCTCCTTTGGGAGGAGCCTTTGTGAATGAGATTAGTGCTGCCATAAAAGTGAACCACAGAGTTCCCTAGTCCCTCCCACCCTCTGAGGATGCAAGAAGTCCATAGTCCTAAAGAAGGCCAGCCCTCCCTAACTCAACTAGACTAGCACTCTGATGTTGGACTTCCAGAACTTCTGATGTCCTCATCTTCAGAATTGTGAGAAATAAATTTCTGTTTTTTCTAAGCTAGCCTGCCTCTGATATTTTGTTGTATCAGCCGAATGGATTCAGACAGGGAAGCTAAAGTGATCATTGATGGGAATGACTAAAATGTGTATAATTTTCTTTCAAGCAAGGCATGCTGGGAAAAGTGCTCAGTATAAAGGGACTACGTAACCTGTCCACATCACTTCCCTGCTTAAAATCGGTCTTCCCACTGCCTTTAGGATAAAGTCTAAACTAGACTTATTCCAAGTTAATCTCTCCATGATTATACTCCAGCCCTTTAGACACATTTTTAAAAAATTTCCACAGCCCATGCTCCTCCCGCCACAGGACCCTTTTATATTGCTTTTACTTTCTGGAATGTTCTCTGACATCTACGCCCCCTCTCTTCCATAAACCAAACACATACACATTCTCTCATATATATGCACTATATGGCTTGACCTGGTTAATTCCTACTCCTCTTTCTAGTCTTAGTTTAAACATCACTTCTTCAGCAGGGTGAGGTCTTTCTTAATCCCACAGACTAGCAAATCCATTTTCTATAAGGACTCATGTTTCTTAAAAAAAAAAAATGCAGAGTGGCTGGGTGGTGCAGTTGGTTATGCATCCAACTCTTGATTTGGCTTAGGTCATGATTTCAAGGTCTTGAGATCAAGCCCCGTGTTGGGCTCTGCACTCAGTGGGGTCCACTTAAGACTCTCTCTCCTCTCCCTCTTCCCTTTCCCTCTGTGTGCTCTCTTTCTCTCTCAAAAAAAATCTAAAAAAGAAATAAAATGAAATGACAAACTTTTTCTTTTATGATTGCTTATTTAATAGACTTTTCGATGGCAAGATCCAAGAAGTCAGGGAACATGTCTGTCTTCTCCACACACCACTATAGCCTCACCACTTAGGAAAGTGCCTGATGCAGAGTAGAAGCTAACAAAAATTTATTAAATTTAATAGGCAGGTCCAATATAGCTAATAATAATAACTCATATTTATTGAGTGCTTACTCTTGCAGGGGGCTGTTGAAAGTGGTTTGCATAGCATTTAATTTAATTCTATTAATTCATTTAATTTCTTACCTTTAAGATAATTTCTGCAATTATCCCCCATTTTACCAATAAGAAAACACAGGTTTTGAAACTTGCCCAAAATCACACAGCTAGCATTGAAATCCAGAAAGTCGGATTCCAGGGCTGAGCTGTTAATTCTTATGCTATCCTGCCAAAGAGGGCTTGACAAATTCTGACTAGTAAAATAAAGGGCTCATGGAAAAGGTTGCCTTGAACTTGGCCTTGAAAAATGAATAGGATTTCTGTTGCCTTGAGATCTAAAACTAGTGGAAGTGTGGCCGGGTGAACTGGGGAGACCCTGGGCTCTAGGGCCTCAACCCAGCCCATCCGGAATGAGTCCCTGAATGTTCTTGATCTTGGAAAAGAACTCGAGGACAGACACTCAACACAGTGGAGAGTGTCACAAATGGGAAAGTTCATTAAAGCAAAAAATACAGTCTCAGGATGGGAGAGCCAATGAGCTTGAGAGAGAGCTGTGCGCCCTGGGGGTTGGGTTTCTATCTTGTACCGATGGTCCTTAACAAGGGGGCTGAATGTTTACTGGAGCAGGAAGCAGGGCTTTGCGTTTTTTCTTCCTAATTTGGTCAGGGGTTTCCTGTCATGGCACCTGCCAGTCCTGGGCCTGTCTGGTTTGCTCTGGCTTCCTGTGGAGCACTGCCAGGACAAGCCTCTACTCTTCCCAGTTGTGGACCATGACTCCCTTGTTGCTGACCTCCAGGTGTTCTGTTAGAACCGGCCTGCATACTCGGACAGGAGCCACTGGAGGCAATTCTACTCAGTCTTCAATGCTGAGAAGTGCCAGAGCTGAGCGAAATGACACCAGGAGACTACTCCCTAACTCTCCTGGAAGGCTAAGCTCTTCTTACCTTACTGTGTGCTAATCAGCGACAGGAGAGGGGTGGTGTAATTTGTAGGCACCTGCACTTATTCCTGACATGGCTAGGAAGAAGCAGGCACTGGCAAAAGTCAACTTAGCAGTGTGGAGGATTGTTTGCAGGTGTAAGAGCATATTGAGCGGAGTATCAGCTAGCATGCTGCTGAGTGGTCCTGTGTGACTTACTAGGATGCCAGTCGTGAGTAGAGTCTGAAACAGTGAAGGTGGGGTCACTCCTAAAAGAGGTCCGAGCTCAATGACAGTCAGAGATGGACCAATATTGGGAATCATCTTGAAGAAAGAGCAAAAATCTTTGAAGAGAGGCCAGGAGGTAAGATTATAGAAAGAAGGATGATGCAAGGATAGAAGCAAGTTTCTTTATGAAAACCAAGATAAGCAGACATGGAAAAGTTGCAATGACAGAGAGGGAGCAAAGGGGCTGGCTTGATCCAGAAAGTCATGCATTTTATAGGGTCAGTTCAAGATCTCCTGTTTAAAGGTTTAACCAACTGATGCTTTTTGAAAAGGAAGAAATATTATTTCTGGAACTAGGAGTGGAAGAGAGAGAATAAGAATACAACCAATAATTTCAGAGTTCAAATTGAAAGGGAGAGAGGTGGGAGAGCAACTGGAAATAGAACGTAAGGAGGGAAACTGTTAAAGATGCAACTGAGGCTTTGTACAGACAGACAATAAAACCATATATGACTTATTATGATTATTAAAACCATATCTCACTAATTGAGCAATGAAACCCGGAAAAGAGCAGAGTGATGGGCATCCCATGAACCATCCTCAGCCAAGGTACCTAGTGAAGCCACCCCCACATTCCCAACCCTTTAGCTACTAAACTTCGGGGTAATTTGCAACTTAGCAATAGGTAACAAATATGGTTCTTCTCCATTATATTATCTTCAAGTTCATTTTCTGTACCTGTATCTTAAATGTTAGTGGCTCTAGGACTTCATTCTCTAATGTTCCTTTCTCTCTCATTTTGAACTTGCTGGGTGATCTCAAGCACTCTTAAGATTTTAATGATCATCTATATGCTGATGATCCTGAGTTTCTGCCTCCAATTCAGATAGTTCTCTCTCCCCTCACAGTTGTATAATGTACTCTGCACAGGATAACCCCATCTATATGTCACACAGACCCTTACACTTGAAATTATTAAAATTCAAATCATTACCTTCCTCTTGGCACTGACTTTAACTCTTTTTTTTTTGGGCAGATTCTCCCCTTCGCGACTTCCCAGGTCTTTTTTGATGGACTATCATCCAGTGGGGGTGTCCTTTAACTTTCTGTCTCCATATTTTATATCCATGGTGAGTTGTCATGGCTAGACATTCTTCTAAGCACTTTGTATTTATTAACACATTTAACCTTTTCAAAATCTTAAGAAGTAGGTGTTATTGCCACCCCACTCTATGATAAGAAACTGAAATTCAGAAAGCTAAATAAGTTGCCTAAAGTTTCATGGATGATAAGTGGGGGAACTTATCAGAATTTAAACTCAGAGGGTCTTAATTTGGAACTGGCTAATTGACCATATGCTATACTGTCACCAATTCATTAATGAGCTCTTCTTAAATATGCTGGATTTAATTTCTTCTTTTTAGTTTCTATTACAGACACAGTTTAGTCTTTTATCATTTCCTTCTTGGACCATGAAATAGCCTCCTTCTGTTGTTACCTCTCTGGTCTTGTCC